GTCATATGTATGTGTGCAGGAATCTACCCACACCTGCACTCTTTATCCTTATGAGGAGAACTCTTTACAGTATTCCTCTTCTCTGAAAAGGATTGAAATTTTACAGAAGAAATAAACCACAAACGAAACAAGGTTGAAAATTATGGTGGAAAAAAACAGAAAGCCTGAACTTTTCCTCTAAAAAAATATGCCTTTGAAAAGTGCTGTCAGGGGAAGCTGCCGGAAATTTAACATCTGCTCTGATTCTTTCACTATATGCTCTTTGTAAATCTGCCCGACATGCTTTTTTAACAGAGCTTCTCTTGTCCTTAAAGTCTGCATCTGATAGAGCAATCAACAACAACATTTGTCTGCATGACTGCCCCCATGCAATTCCATGAACAGTGATTTTCACCATTTTTCTTATTGCTATTATTGATTGCTGCTGTGATGTTATATTGTGACACATCTTGGATCCTCTGAAAATAGCCTTGAGCAAATTGTTCAGAATGAGCCACATTTCAGCCAGTAGCACTCATGGATTATTGTTTTGATACCATGTCAGTCTACCAGAAAAACCATACACACTCCACCTACAAATGATCCTCACATAATGGAGAAGTACCCAAATATCAAAGGTCCCTCATCCTTGAAATCATCACAGTTTATTGTATAGAGCTTTTTGTCAAAACACTTTTGTGTTCCCAATACATGACATAATACTCCTGCTCACCTAAATAACAGAGCCCAGTGAATAAATTTGTAATGCAGGATTATATACACTAATACTCTAACTGCAAGTAATACAATATGTCATCATAGATGCCATATGTCTCAGGAGAGATACTTCATCAATAAATTAATGACAAGTATCACTGAAAGCTGTCCTGTATAGAACTGAGGAAAGAAAGGTCTGGATATACATTTTTCTGGGATGTAATCCCCCTCGATTGTGGAGAGGACTGATGGAGAACAGAGCATAAAAGACAACTTGCTAGGTCTGTTGGAAAAAAAAATACTCAAATGCATTACTTTTGGCACTGATCTACATGTTTCATGGTTACTGATTTGTGCAACAATGGCATAAATCAGAATTTTGTTTGACTTGAAATAGGAGTTATGAGCAGAGCTCTATCTTCAGTAAGAAGAATGTTGCATATTTAATAGCACTTTTACTTGTAGACAAAATGGACAAAGCACATAAGCTTGGTCTAAAGAAATATGAGGGAGAAAAAAAAAGAAAAAATATGAAAGCTTTTAGAAACACAAAGTTTTCTTTTCTTCTATTTTTATCAATCCAAATGTATATCACATCTTTCTACTAACCTTAAGTTTCTTATTTGTGTTTACAAAATAAAATTTCTTTTGAAAATACCTTCTAAATAATATATTTGCAAATAGTTCAAGTACTTCAATGTTCCAAAATATTTGTAGTCTAGCCTTCTTTTGACCACAAAATTATCAATTGTTTAACATATTATCCTGCTAACATTGTGGGGTGCTGGTGCTTTCCCTGGCTCTTTTTGTCTGACTGATGCCTTAATTTTAGTAAGAGTAATCCTCATGTCCACTCTTGCCTAATAGAGAGTTCAGTTGATTTTCTTGATGATGTTTATCACAAGATCTTGATGGACAAATTAATATACATATATTACTCTAATATCCTTTATTCTCTCTAGTCTGATATATTATTTATAATTTAAATTTACTAGACCACTATGCATACTTTTGAACATGGAAAATGGAATCTTCTGAAAGCTAAGTTCTTAGATCCTCTTCGCCTCTAAATTTAAATATGAAATAATTTTAATGGGCTATTTATTTAATTTGAAGTAGTGTTCTTTCTATATTTGAAAAAGAGCCTGTACTCATCATAATAAGGGTAGGACATTTATAAATTTAATTCAATTAGTGAGAAATCTGGCTTTAATAATATCATATAAAATTTAGAAACCTCCAGGATGTGTAAAAATGAATAGAAAGTGTAGCATTTCACACTAAAATTTATAGCTTTTAGAATAGTTTCTATAGATACTTTGTCATTTCATTCCTGTAAGTTCTATGAAACTTTATGATTGGACCTATTTGCTTGCTTTGTCACTTTTTTTTTTTGTAGGATTTTCTTATTGTTTATTTTTCCACAGGCACAAATATTTCCAAGAAAGCAAGAAAGTTCTGAATAAAGTGAATAATTATTTCTTTTGAGGAACACATCTTCTCAATTATCTTTTAACTCAGGTTTAGTTTTTTTTTTTTCAAATGTTAAAATTGCTTAACAGTATTTACCAAGTTTTGCAGCTTTTTATTCACTTAAGAATAATCTTGATACCATGATTTATCTGCTTTTTCTAATTGAAATGTTTGTGAATCACAGCAATACTTCAGAGCTTTAAATTTTATTTTCCATTGAGAGATATATATTTTCCTGAAACTTTCTTAGAGTCACATTTTAGCAGAAGAAATTACAAAACGGAATTAGTGCATAAATCAGAGAAAATATTTATTTACAGACATGTAAAAATTATGTTACAGCATTTTAAAGAAAACTGTCATGAACCATAAATCTGGTCTACATGGGAAAACCCTGAATGTTTTAATTCTAACTTTCAGTGCTACCTATTAAAAATAAGACTGCTTACAAGATTGTAGCTATCTACATTGTTTAAGTACAGTGATTTTCCAGAAATAAAAATGGATCTACACAGAAAACTAACCAAACCAGCAATAGTATGTAATACAAGAATTTACAAAAGTTAAAAAAAAAAATCCAAGCTATTTTAGCAAATGTTTTTCATTCATGCAGCTGCACATAAATATCTAAAACACAGAACATGTAGGTCTGTGTAGAAAATGAACTGATTTAATTCAGGAGTGTATATAAAAGATGTTGTAGAACTTTTGAAAACCAAAATTGATTGATGAGATCCCTTCTGTTTTTTATTCTTCAGTTCTGCAAATGACAAACAACATTAAAGCAAACTAATAAAAATCACATAAAACAAATGTATGTGGTGATGACAAGCAACATTGGGCATACCACATACAAGAAAAGCAGAGAAATACCAAGCTGTGCTGAAACTACCAACATTCTTTCTAGTTCTTATGAGTCATACAAGCCATTAAGAAACCTTGCTAGTAATAGGCTGGAGGGCACAAGTTTGTGGCTTGCAAATGGATAGTACCTAAGGATGTCATCACAGAGGTCTTTTTGCATTCAAAATGCTTTCAGGACAGACTGTGGTGTGAAAGATACTTGTCATCCACATGGTGAAATAATTTCTGTAAGTATAAAATGTAAGGATAATGACAGAAACAAGTTTGTAAAAATCTAATAACGTGCATTTCTTTGATTAGTAGCTCATTTGAAACAGAGGTGGTAAAGAGGTGATACACTTAGCTGTTTCTTATATGTAGTTTATTAATATCAATACCAGAAATACCAATATCAGAGCTGTTAGATAAAAGTCTGCATCTTTTAAGATAACCAACAGTTACATAATTTAAATATATACTAAGGCAAAATGCTCACTGGGTTGCTAAGATTTGGACTTCCTTTTTTAACTGTAAGCCAAAGAAGGCAAAGCCAATTCAAAAAATGACTTTTTTTTTTTGTATTTTAAAGGTGAAAATAGTAATAACCTATTATAATGGTAATAACTATTATACATCTCAGTATTACTAGGAAGAAAAATGAACAAAAAAAAAACCCAAGATAGCCAAGCTATTAATCAAAGGCAAACTAACACTTTAATTTGACTTAATATTTTGCTCACACAGAAGTGTAATACTTTTTTCTAGCACTTTCCTGGGACTGTCAGCCTAGGTAGATTCCAATGCTACAATTGTTTATGTTCAGGAATAAGGAATTTCCTTCAGGAGTAAGGAAGTTCTGCATAAGGAACTTCCTTCCTCAAGTAAATAGCTAGATAATGCTCAGGTGAACTCATGTTTAGCTCTGTATACTAGATATAATAGGCCCAAACATAGCTGAAAGTGCCCTGTTACATGATCTTCTGATGAAATAAATTCCTATACATTAATAGATAATTTAAATTCAAATTTATGATTTTCTTTTCAGACATTCAAAGAGTATCAGTGCTTTGGATGATGGTTACCATGCTGGAAATCTGATTGGAGTCCCTGAACTCCCAACTCCTCATTCCCCCATATTTTATGGTGAACTTAATATCTCACAAACTTATATTTTTTAGAGAAATTGAAATTTGCTCTATTGAGGAGACACACTGATGCCTTTATTTTTTCTTTTACTTTCAGTCCACAGAGAATAATTAAAAAGTAAGACAAGGATTCATCTTTGCGGAGCTGGGAAAAACACTAGGTATCACAGGACACGGATATCAGTGAAAGCCACAACTCCCCATTCCAGACTGACGCAAAACTATGCTCCATTGATTGGGTACGGTACTTCTTAATTTAATACCTCCATATCTTGGAAAGCTCTTGTTTTTATGTCATTCTTTCTCTGTAACCACTTTAAAGATATGTCTGCTTATATGTGAGCACATCTCTGCCATCTGTGAAAGCATGTATGTCTAGCTTCAGAATGGCGAGCAAGTTTACTTTCCTTAGAGAAGAATATCTTGTATGCATGTGATACACTCAAATCTGAGTAATACAAGAGAAATAATGCATCCATTCCATTCAAAAGGAAATATGATTTATTAAGAAATTCTATTTCAGACTTCCCCCTACAACAGCTGTAATAATTATTTTCCACCTTCAAGCTTTTAGGAGTGCTTTTGGGGTTCGGGAGTGGAAAGACTCTAATGCTGAAAAAGAAAACAAATATTATTAGTAAGCTAACTCAAGCTCTCACGTATTGGCAGTCTGTAAGTCATTTATCTGGCTGTATGGGAGACTATCTGTTGTGCAAGCTTTCCATATAGTAATAACAAACTGTCCTGAGACTAGTAGATACAGCTATAAGGACTGTGTTAGTGGGTGGCAGCCCACAGAATATATTCCCGAAGAACAGGATTTGAAAGGGCATCCAATTTACAGTTTGCCAGGAATTGCTCTCATATTTTGATAATTTAATTTCTTTAGCAGCTATCCCTATTTGTAAATATAATTATTTTAATTGAGGAATAAAATAAATAAAATAATGGAAAATACCACACAACATATTTAACTGTAACACTGATCATAACAATGACCTTGTTTGAATTAAGCTGTAAACAAAGAAGTGCAATATTAGCTGACTTTAAATATGGTAAAACAGTAAAACATGCTAATCATAAAAATAGCTTTTACAAATATACATTTGTATACAGTGTTTCCCACACTTGTTAAATATGTCCTTCATATTATTATGATACATACATTGGCCTTTAAGACATCAAAATTAAAAAAATAATACCAATAATTAGCCAGAGGAAAAAACACATTTACAATCTAAACCATAAAAATCTGACAATTGTACAGCTTAGAACATATAAGAAATGGAAATTCTAATTTTTGAACGGTAACGTCCATTTTAATAAGTACATTGAGTTTTCATACAAATTGAGTCAAAGGTGTTGCTCGCCATAAGAAACCGCAGTTCACGATTTTGTGTGGGGAAGTTTCTCTTCTCAGCCTCCAGGAGATTCACACATGGCAACTCATCACTTGATCTGTAGAAACTGAGAAACGAAATGCTTGCATTAATGTGAAGGTTCAGAATTTCTTCTAACCTCAAAAGAAAGCTAAGACAACTGGGAAAAAGACATAAAATGTTTATTTCTGAACTTTTGCACTAATGAATCAAATCTCAATACCTGACTTTGACACCTAAATATTTGTGAACTAAAAGGCAAGTACCTGCAGCAGTGGATAACCAGGACTATATAAAAGTCCTACGATAAACTACACTGCCCAAAATTAACCATTCATTAACCAATGAAGAGAGCTGTCCAGGCTGCTCTATACTTCCCTTCAGCAATGCTAAGCTAACAACAGCTGAATACTTTATATTTTAACAGCAGAAAATAGAAGAATTCATGTTAGCTGCTTTGCAATTAAATTATTTATTTACAGAATAGCATTTTATTAAAATTGCATATAGAATTCTTTGATTTGCTTCCATCACATTATTAATTTCATAGAATCATAGAATCGTTAAGGTTGGAAGGAACCTCTAGAATCATCTAGTCCAACTCCCCTGCACACGCAGGGTCACCTAGAGCACGTGGCACAGGACTGCATCCAAGCGGGTTTGGAAGATCTCCAGAGAAGGAGACTCCACAATCTTTCTTGGCAACCTGTTCCAGTGCTCTGTCAGCCTCACTGTTAAGAATTTTTTCCTTAAGCTTCTGTGGAACTTTTGGTGTTTCAGTTTGTGGCCATTACCCGTAGTTCTCTTGGTGGCCACCACCGAAAAGAGGCCAGCACCATCCTCCGCACTCCCTCCCTTGAGGTACTTATAGACACTGATTAGATCCCCTCTCAGCCTTCTCTTCTCCAGGCTGAACAGGCCCAGCTCCCTCAGCCTCTCCTCATAGGGCAGATGTTCCAGGCCCCTGATCATCCTTGTGGCCCTGCGCTGGACTCTCTCCAGCAGCAACACATCAGTCTTGCACTGGGGGGCCCAGAGCTGGACACAATACTCCAGATGTGGTCTCATCAGGGCTGAGTAGAGGGGCAGGATCACCTCCCTCAACCTGCTGGAGATGCTCTTCTTAATGCACCCCAGGATCCCATTGGCCATATTGGCCACGAGGGCACACTGCTGCCTCATGGTCACCTTGTCGTCCACCATGATGCCCAGGTCCTTCTCTGCAGAGCTGCTCTCCGGAAGGTCAGTCCCCAGCCTAATTTACCTTATTCCACCCCATTTACACTGACTGTGTGCTTTCAGAAATGCTTATTGTTACTGGGCTGAGGATATGTTTTCAGTGGCTTTCCTTTTAAAGCTACCTATTTCATTGTTATTTTTGTTCACATGCTCTAGGCTTTAATTGACATTTTCTTTAATTTCTCATGTTGTTTTATCACCCACATTCTGAAAAAGTAAAAAATCAGTGTCAGCAACACTTTTGAGGATCATTCTTCTATCAGAAGCCTGAGGCAGATTGCCTCTAAAAATCTCACTGTCCTGGTATGAGACCATTAACACTCCTAGCTTCAACTAGTCATTCAGTGATGCCTCAGGGGAGCACAAGACATATCAGCTTCACCTACCAACTGAAAAACTGACAACACTGTCCTGATCATAACTGTTTGGAGAACTGACAGTAGAAAATGTTAAGAGAAATAGACAGTTTCTTTTTTTTTAACTCATTTTTTCAACCTAAATGGTTTTGCTTTTGATAGAAAAAAATATGTTTATGCTTTTGATAGAAAAAAAATCTTTCAACCAAATTTTTTCGCTTTTTTTTTTTTTTGCCAATTTCCACAGCTTAAGCTGCAAACAGCTGACAACACATTGAAACACTGTGCATTTCTGTTCAAAACCCTCAAAATCTCCAGATGTTCTTTTGAACTATTTTTGTCTCTCCATCAGTAAGTTTTGTTATTTTTTCTTCCCTGGAGAAAATGGGATGTTTTGAGTTAATATCTGCATTCACTGAAAATGTACTTTGCCATTGAAGAAGGTTGCACTAGAAACATCAGAATCTATGTAGGACTGGTCTCTGACCTTTGAAGCAGACAACATGCCTCCACGGAGCCATCAGATTTTCCCTTCATTGCAAAGGGAGCAGAGATTTCTAGGTTTAGCCTTCCAGTAAGCAGGATTAGGGAAGAAAAGCTCATATGAGAGTTCCCAGAACTTTCTTCTTTCAGATAAAATGTTATAAAACTATTATTTTCTACTTGCATCCTGAAAAAGTCTCCATGTCCCTGACTTTTTAGCTCCTGTCCCTGGACAGACTTAACTACATGAAAAAGATTTAAATTCCTGCCGTTAAGTCTGAGAGACCTAATGGTTGTTAAGTAGCTATTCATCTTAGAAGAACAAAAAGAAAAGGTCATGGTTCCACTGCGCATCCTGTTCGCTCTAGAGGAAGTTCTTTTCTAGCCTTTTCTTCACCTATGCTTTGCTGTTCCATTATGCTATTATAAAAAGCAATAATTACCCAGCGAAGAAGAGAGACTGTTTTTCAAGTTATTTACTGAAGCTTTTTCTTTGCCGTAAACCTTTCAGACATTTACCTGTCACCCGCACTAAAAAGCTTCATTAGGTTACTGTTATGAAGTGTTATTGCTAGCCATCTGGATCGAAACTGTGAATGCTGTTTTGCTGTCACTTAGAAACAATGATAAAAATTTACTGATCGTGCCAGCCAAAAATTTTGTATCCAATACATAGACTTGTTATTCTCCTCTTAAGGCAAATAATTCTAAAGGCTGAGAAGAAAGTTTAAAATGTAAAACAGTCAAGCTTCTGTGTTCCATAGAATAACAGTACCTCTGGGCTATGATTAATCTAGGGTAATATTATACTAATTTTATTCTATTTCTTTCTTTTGAATAGTGTGCAATTTATCAGCTAATTTTATAGTAGTGATCATGATAATAATAATAAAAAGAAACTCATGATGACTAATTTTTTTAATCTTTTCATTTCCTTCCAGTTATATATATAAAATGGATCCTGACACTGTAACGATGAACTGAATTACATTTTAGCCCGCAATATGGCTTTCATTTGATGTGGTTCTAATAGGAAATCACTTTAAAAAGAATGATTTGAACATAATGCATTTAAAAAATCTAATAACCTAACAACATATAGCTTTGACAGGTGCAGACAATATTGAAGAAACAGTATATACTGTCCAAATTATCATCATAATCTCCAAAAAAAGATGGAGATAAGTTATGGAACATTTATTGATTCACTCTCCAAATGAAATTATTTCTGCTTTCCTCCCCCATATAGCTGGCTTTTTGATCATGAGCTACTGGGAGGACTCTTAGGCATAATGTCTAAGCAGTCTTCCAGAAATCTTTCTGTCCAGTCCTTTTCAGAAGTCTTTCAGTCTTCCAGGAATGCTATTGCTACTATTACTATAGTTCCAGTATGATCCTTCTAGCAATTTTACCAGACTCAAACTATATTAGTTTCAATTAATTTTATGCTGTTACAACATATATAATTTGGAAAACCAACATTAAATACTAAGTACTGGACTAAGTGAAAGTGCTGGTGTATTTAATGGGCCCCAAATTATAATTGCTAAAAAGGATGGAGTAAATCAGGTAATACTCAGCAGAAATCTAGAGTTTTCCCTCTTGTTGTTTAGAAGTTTACTGGTTTTGCCACTTACGTAGTCTCAAAGTATAGATAATACAGATGTAGATGTTTAAGAATCCCCTGCAGAATGGGGACATTTTTGTGGAAAAGACTTGCCATCGGATCATCTGCCAGGTGACCATCCTGTCTAAGCTCTTTGCTTCACAGGTATCCAGTATTTGCACTGATTATAAACAGTTCGCGTGGCTGTATTTTTTCTAAAAGTCTTTTATGAAGAGGCAAGCTTGATATATGGTAAAAATTATTAAGCATCATTTTTTTTAAAGACTAGATTGGCTATCCCACTGCCCTCAACCTCCCAAAATATAGATGGAACACTGATCAGTATTTGGTTGGTAGAGAATCAATACGTGCATTCAGGTGCCCTATTTCTTTGTGGAAGCCTTGAGTTTTCATCTTTGCTATCTGGACCAAGGCAGAACTCAGCCTTTTCCATAGTTTGACTTATTTATTGTTCTTTATAGTTCTAAAATAAGGTGAGCAACACAGATACACTGCTTCCTCTCTGTACATCCCTATAATTTCCTTCTGACAGGGTTCTGACAGGAAAAGCATGTTGCACTTTTTTTTTTCCATGCTTTTCTTTCAGATCTTAATAATGAGTATTAAGGATGCACCATGACTAAAGGACATAAAAGATGCACACAATTAAAATCATCCCTTGTAATTACAGAATATTACTAACATTAAGAAAACATTTAGAGAAATGTCCCACAGAATACAGATGTTAGAGAATTTATTATGTGGTTTATCCTGTAACAATTCTATGCAATAAAAGCACCCAACAAGTGTATGGAAGATGTTAATGTGACAAAATGCATCCATTTTTAAGCAGCCAACTGCTTTCAACAGTTTTCATGGCAACATTCATCTTTGAAATCCTCAGAATTTGCATCTAAAATAATTGATGAATGTACAACTGTGCACATATATATATATGAACATGAAACTCAAAGGCTCAAATATCCTTCATCTTTCTTTCCTGTCTCTTTTTGCTTGCTAGGACCCACTCTCAGCATTGGACTTATGGGTTTAACAGCTGTAAGGGAGAGATATCCAAATAATTCTGACCATCCCTTGGTATTAGGTAAGATTGACCTTATGCATCTATTGTCCTCCTGTTGTGGGGACACTAAATGCATGGCGCTTTTCAGAGTTGCTGCTAGTATCTGGCTAGGTTTTCCTGCGCTTATGATCTCCATAGACTTCTTTCTGCAGAAACATTGGAAGATCCTTTAAAATGCAGCTGCTGCACTTCCTTTTACTCATGCCCCTGGTCCTAATAATTTTAATCAGAACACAATCGCTTTGCTTGCATATGATTTGTATTCCTATAATGTTTCCTGCACGGTCAAGACTACTGAATACAGGTCCACAGGAGCCACT